AATACTTTATTTTAAATATTATGAATACTGAAAACTTTATTTTTAATATTCTCCTATTCTGTAAAATCGAATAATTTCTTTTACATTTTAAAGGGCTCGCTGTGGCACCCTTTCAAAATTTAATAAAAATGATTAGATGTTGCCTTTATTAATAGTTACAGTAGTATTGCCATATTGCACATATTTGAAATGCATTTGTAAAGAAAAGTATGTACAAGCAATTCCATCAGAGACCAACTAATAATTGGCTAAAAATAGGCTTTGCAGTTGTGCACGCGTTTCCCCTGTTCAACTCTGACCTACAGCAGCTGTAGGTTTAACGTCATTAAGTAATAACAACAAGCTGATTATGCAAACAACTCATCTGTCAATATATATATAGAGTCCAGTTTATTCCTGGGCGCAGTACGTACGAATGTAATCTAATTACAATTTACGCGAGAGCTTCGCACGCGTGGGTCGAGAGGCATTGAACATAGCAAAACGTCAGACAACAACATGAATCAATTCGAATTGCAGATTGAATGCGATGTGCACACGGCTTGTGAATGAATGGATCCTTATCGGGCTCACCTTTGACCGTAATGCTATCCATAATATCAGTTGCAACGATATGTTTACATAGGTTCGACGTTCTGCCTCGGTTGTTGTTGTTGTTGTTAGCTACTCAAAAGCCAATAAATTCCATTGAGCAGACCAAATCGCCCCGAGTGAAGCCAAGTGGCCAGTGTCAAGTGGAAAAGAAATGTAAATTTTGCAGCTGCACTTTAGCTGTATGAAGGCAACTCAAACATGGCGACTGAGCCAACGGCGGCTGTGTGGGCAAAAGTCAACATTCAGGCAAGAGGAAAATGGCCGGCAAGGCACACACACATACGCATACACAAACACATATACGTGTACTGCAAATGATGGCCATTCATTGTGTCCACATTGGCTTGGCCTGGACACAATGCAATAGTCAACGTCCAGTCGGACATTGTAGCCAAGCTGGTCACTCACTCAAACGACAGTTGGAGATGAGGCCCCCCACTCCTCGGGCTTCGCCTGCACTTGATGCTCGCTTAATGCCGCATGTTAACAGCATTAGCAACACTTTGGCCCTTAACGAGTTGTGAGCCACCAAGAGAGGGCCAAGTCTAAAGTGCCCGATTCCTGCTCCAGCTCTGTGACATTTGCCATGCACATCTGCCAGGAGCCAATTAAAATAAGCTGATGTGCTCTCAAAGTCTTAATTGGCACAGCAATACATATATGTATACCGACAGCAACACCGAGATGTGTAAATATACACATATGTATATATATTTGTATATGCCAGCATTAGAGCATCAGGTTATTGTCTTTCTTTTTAATAAGTGCAGAGACAAACTTTCTTAATTACCGTTTATTTGTCATTGTTCTGCTCGAAGAGTGTGTGAAAGTAATTTTTGCACTCGATGTTGTTGCTGTTGTTGTTGCTCTTGCTCTTCACTTTGGAAGGGCGCAAACTTTTAATCGACACCAATTTGTCAACTGCGTCGCTGGCAGCAGCAGTCAGAGACAGAAGCTGCTCCCCAGACCCAATAAATCCAATATCTAAGTATTTTGTACAGAAGCAGCTGGCCACATTACCCACGCAAATTTATGCCAAAAATAAAAAAAAAAAGAAATCGGAAAAAAAGAACCCTCAATGCTGTCACATGAAATATGAGTCGGGGTGGTGCGAGTGCGCACTTTGCATAAAATCCGTTGCAGCATGCTCAATAAATTCCGAGACGCAGTCTGTGGCTCCAGCGCTTCTATGTGCGACTAATTTCCGCCAAACTAATAGATGTCTTTACGCTGCGGAAAATGCTGCGGTCCTGGAGCTTGAGCTGGAGCTGGAGCTGGTGCTGGGGTCACATGACTGAGCCATTTTTGCGTGTCATAGACGTGACATGACATAAAGTTAATTAAGCTCCATTTGCTGGGGCAACAACAACATCGCGCTGAGTTGACATCACGAGTGCTCTGCGCGGTAATTAGTTAGCTTCAAGCAACGTAAATGGTCTCAGTCGAACTGCACTTCCAGTTGCAGTTGCACTTTTCAGTTAAATGCGGCTTAAAAGCTGGCGGCCGGCGCAGTTGATTCGGCTTTTGCGTAAATTAATTAAATACTTTTTTAATAAACGGCCGCATTGGGCCCGCTGGGCTATTAGTCCCATTGGCCAATCAGGCGTATACGCAATAAAATGAACTTTTCATACGCTTCAAAGAACGTCTTGGGCTCAAATGAAAGGCGACATTTGCAATCCGAAAACTTTGCGGTATCTCTTAATGAGCTAATGAGAAACTTTTATTGAGGTTGAAGGCTAATTTGATCTTGATTTGATTTATTTGCCGCCAATTCATTGAATTAAAAATGAAACTTTAACTTAATGCAAAAAAAAAAAGAAAATAAATAAATAAAGATTGAAAGCGTGGACTCGAATATTTATTTGGCTCCTGTTCATTTATTGGAAAATGATGCTCGAACTGTGTTTAAATATAGAAATACAAAGTAGATTATTACAGATTAGCGATTCGCTAGAGTAAAAAGCCAAAAACGTGTCATTTGCCTATAGCGCACTCTGCTGATGATTAGCAATGTTAATAATAGTTTGTAAAAATAATAATAAT